ATTTGATTTTCAAAAATAGTAGTCTTTTCGATATGTTTCGTAAAAATGCTATGCCAGTTTCTAAAAAGTTCATTATAAAAACGAGATATACACTTCATATCATTATTGTAGTTACTTGCAACAAGTATTGAACTATTGAAAGGGGATAAAATATTAGAAAGTCACTAACCATGTTTGGTCGGGATTTAAAAAGAACTTTTTCAACCAAAAAACACATTTACTTTTTATAAATTCATTTATATCTATCATTCTAAGATAAAAATCTTAATGTTTTTCTTTCTTGAGTATTGTTCATTTCTATTGCCTAAAATAATAGCCTCTCTTGCAAGTGATTTGGCCTCAATGCACTGGTTTCGTAAATCTTCGTTATCTGATTTTAACATTTTATTTTCACTACACATACTATCAATTTGCGCTCTATTACTATCCAATTCTTCTCGTAACAATTGTATCTCATCAAATATTTCGTTTTTTACTTCAGATTTTAATGTTATCCGAATTTCATCTTTCAATTCTTTAATAAGGGTCTCGAAACTTGAGATCGTAACGACATTTCAATCATTACAAAAAAGATTTTGGGTACTGCTAAGTTGACTTATGAGGAATTACTGACTGTGTTAATTCAAATTGAAGGAGTCGTGAATTCTAGACCTCTTACATATGTTAGTGAGGAATGTGTTAATTCGTTAACTCCATCCCATCTTGTGATAGGACGTAGAATTATTTCTGAGCCTAATTTGATTATTGATATTCCTCATACTGATAGTGATCAAGTTCATATTAAACGAAAGAAATGTCTGAGTACTGTGTTAGAACATTTTTGGAATCGTTGGAGACACGAGTATTTAACTGAACTTCGTGAGCATCATCGAAATCGTAGTAAGCAAGGTCCTATTATAAGCAATGATGATGTAGTTCTTGTGTACGAAGACAAGATTCCGCGAATGAACTGGAGTATGGCTCGTGTAGTGCGAACTTTAGTAGGAAGAGACAATAATGTTCGTTCAGCAGTTATTCGCGTTCCTAATAAACTTGGTAAAATGATAGTGATGAACCGTCCAATCCAAAAGTTGTTTCCTGTTGAGTTAGTACAGGACAGTAATTAATATTTGTGTCCATAGACTGAATGTGTATTTTAATTTTGTATATTTCAATGTTATTGCTTTGTATTGTAACGAGTTTAGAGTTCAGACAGTAGATTATGAATAGTTTATTGTGCACTCATACCTCTTATCCATTGAGTCGAGCTCGAATCCATCTTTTGATTTCCATTTTCATATTTAGGTATGGAATCATAAGTCAATAGGGGGGAGTGTGTTGTGAAATAGACTAAATGCGGTCTATAAAGTGTTAACTCTTGACATGAATTATCTCCCTTTTTGGAACTCTTTATGTAAGAAGTTGTCTTCTCTGTACACCCTTGAAATGTGGTGAAGAAAATAAAATTCGAGTTTAGAGTGTGACTTATTTTCGATTTCCTGGTCGAGTGTTAGCTTTTAAACCCAAACAAGTCTTAAGTGGCGCAGTATGTTACTCTTGAATAGTAAAAGATTTTAGTTTTGAAACGCTATAGGGATGGATTAAATTGAGATAAATCAGTTTGTAAATATAATATGACAACTCCAAAACTGCAAAACAAGAATACATAATTCAATTAAAGTTATATTGCGCTTATGACGATATTTTCAATCAATATTGAACAGACGTTTTTTTTGCGTACAAGTCGCTTAAGTTTGCCTAAAAAACTTTCAAATACGAAAGCAGAAAAATCCTCAAGTGGTCCAAATTTCTTGACATCTGTGAACATTATAGACCAGCATATCTTTTCCATATACATTTCCAAATTCTGTAACAAAAAGATGAAGTAGTTTATCAGAGTAGCTTAAATATGTTCTAAATAAAAAGGGGCTTGAAAGACAATATATAGAAACAAACAAAAGCATAGAATGACGGTAGTGGTGATAATACCCCGTGTAAACAAACTGGACCTGTATATAGAAGAAATTCAGTTGCTTTCCATCTATCAACCTCCTTCAGTGATCTACCTTTGCGAAGAAATTCACGAGGAAGAAATTTACCTACCTCTATAATACTAACCGATAGTCTCTGGTGTGAGCAGAAAGTTTGCAACATGCCAGAGGGCCTTTGACCCAAAATGAAAGAAGACGTTTCATGACGCCTAGGCACACCAGATGCATGAAATTTAATGGAAACTGACTTACCATTCCAATATTAAGTTCTGTAAATGGATAGGTTGCCAAGTGATGTTCAATTTGGGCCATTTCATCAAACTGTGCATCAGTTCTTAAATCAGAATCTATATCTGGAAAAGTGATTTTGTTGGGATGCTTACCTTTCTGGACACACTTGTCATATCCGAAATAACCACTGTGGCCTTTTACTTGCTTTACATAAGCTCGAGCAGGAGTGTCACATATTACACAAGATATACTTACCTTGAACTTACTATCCAGTTCTGGAACAGAAAAAGGGTCATTTTCAAGCCTTTTCATTTCATTAATGAAGGGAAGCAAGTAACAATTTATATCACTTGGCTTACTATCACCAACATATATTGCCAATCACAAAAGGCTCTGCAGTGTATGGCAATACATGTCTGCCCAATATTGGCCAAAACTGGGTGCTGGAGCTCTTAAAGAGTGGGAGGCCATTATTGTTTACCTGGATTTGAAGATGAGAATCAGTCATAAAACATTGCGCATTATCAGAAATTTGATCCCTCAATCCTACCTCAACTCCAAAATGGTGATAATGGCCATCACAAACTTTACTTACCTCAACATTTTTTACAGTGTGCAACAATGTTCTAGGATCTTTCGGAAGTTGAGGATGGAATGGTTTCAATATACCTAGCAGATCACGCATTGATTTCCCGTGGATACTATGCTTTTTTGACCAATCCGCCAACTGTTTCTTTAGAACTACATCGTTATTGGTGTCATCACAATCAGAATCTGTATCACTGCCAGTATCGAAATCTAAAAAATAATCTTTTACGAAAGAATCTGTGTTGTCTCTGTTTGAATTTGAAGTGGTAGATATACTGGTACCTAAAAAAATATCTGATGCAGGAGCATCATCATGATCTGTAATAGAAATAATAGAATTAGAACTAAATATGTTGTGATGTGAATTAAAGTCTGAATCTTCATAATATGCACCAGTATTCACTGAAAAATCACCACCTTCTAAAACTGGAGAAATAGGCCCACTATGTTTTGTTTCTGTTTCAGCATCCTCGCATCCAGGACTATTATAAATATTTTTCATATGTTTTGAAACATTTGATCTTACATTCCTGTAAGTCTGCCAATAAGATTTAGGCCTATACATCTATGCCTGAAACTGGAAAATGCCATATCAATAAATAAACTGAAATTAGTAAAAAAAAAACAAAACAAAGAAACATTGAAAGGGTAAGGTTATGCAGGTTATCCAAGAATTATGTATAATGCTAGAGAATAAATGTTAGATCTAAAAACTAAGTGAAAACTTGGCACTCACATAAATCAGTCGTTTACCTGTAATGATTAAGATATATTTCTTTTCAATTCTGTAAGATAAAAATTTAAATGTAAATATTGGATTTGATCCTGATAACTCATATGGCTGAAAAGACGCGCGTAAAGTCACGAGCGAGCGGCGTTCCGCAATCTACACGTCATAAAATCTAAATAAAAAAAATATTTCTTTTAATAATCTGACATATTTATGAAATTCGTATTCTAGGAAGGGAATCCCATAAAAAATCAATGAAAAATAATTTAAAATCCATGGTATTTTTTTCGAGCCTGATACTCAATGGATGTACTTGATTTCACATCTACTAGGCCGTAGTAGCGTTAAACGGGCATTATTAGCAATACTAATATCAAAGTGAAGAAACCGAGCTGCAATACCATTAAATATATATGATTTATGAGATCTTTGGTTTCTATGATTAAATGACACGCGAATTTGTACCATTAGTTTGTATTTGAGTTTCATAATTTTCGATTTAAAAACCAATCAAGTTCAGCCGAAGTAGAGATCTGCAATAAACCCTGAATCGAAGTAAACGACGTTGATTATGTGGTCAAAGGGGACAATCGAAAGTTGACCTAATTAGGTTTCGGGGAAGGGAGGGTTTGATTCTCCCAAATGTACAGGCCTAGGGTGGAGCAGACACTTTATTTAGAAATTAGGATTAAGGGTCTTGATATTGGGTTTTCTTCTGTTCTTATTCTGATCTGAAATTAGAAAAAATAACTCGCCCGATGGGCGAGAAGTATAGTATCTGTTATGTACTTATTGTTTTTAGTTTACTATGAACAATATTATCATTTAAGTTCTTATTTTTTGAATATACAACTTGACAGATTTTGACGAAAGTTGGTAATATTATTCATTATCGCCTCAAAAAGTTCAAAAGAGGTGTATGTCTGAAGGTTGAATATTTCATACTGGTGATTGTTACTGTACTGATAAATCTTTTTATTTATAAATCAAAGCTGCCAGTGGGCGTATATGCTTTGCCTAGCAAGCTATATATTGAAGATTAAAACGACAAATAAACATCAGTTATTCTTCTCTGACCTACCAGTATCTCTTGACCTCTCTTGGAGCTACCTCCAATGTGCAATATATCGATACCCAGATAATGCCAGAGTTTAAAGTCGGTAAATTTACTTTTCGATGTATATCACGATTATCGATTATATTCATTTATATATTTACGAAATATAGATTGTTTGGCGCTCAGATTGTTTGCCGCTTAGATTGTTTGACGCTAACATTCGTTGGTGCTTAGATACCCCGTGTAAACAAACTGGACCTGTATATAGAAGAAATTCAGTTGCTTTCCATCTATCAACCTCCTTCAGTGATCTACCTTTGCGAAGAAATTCACGAGGAAGAAATTTACCTACCTCTATAACACTAACCGATAGTCTCTTTATGGTGTGAGCAGAAAGTTTGCAACATGCCAGAGGGCCTTTGACCCAAAATGAAAGAAGACGTTTCATGACGCCTAGGCACACCAGATGCATGAAATCTAATGGAAACTGACTTACCATTCCAATATTAAGTTCTGTAAATGGATAGGTTGCCAAGTGATGTTCAATTTGGGCCATTTCATCAAACTGTGCATCAGTTCTTAAATCAGAATCTATATCTGGAAAAGTGATTTTGTTGGGATGCTTACCTTTCTGGACACACTTGTCACATCCGAAATAACCACTGTGGCCTTTTACTTGCTTTACATAAGCTCCAGCAGGAGTGTCACATATTACACAAGATATACTTACCTTGAACTTACTATCCAGTTCTGGAACAGAAAAAGGGTCATTTTCAAGCCTTTTCATTTCATTAATGAAGGGAAGCAAGTAACAATTGAAGATTAAAACGACAATTAAAAGGAAATAAACATCAGTTATTCTTCTCTGACCTACCAGTATCTCTTGACCTCTCTTGGAGCTACCTCCAATGTGCAGTTGGTCGATACTGAATAATATTACTAAGTTTTGTAAAAATATGTTAAGAATTGTGCCATCTAGAGTGTTAACGAACTAAAATTGAAAAGCTTCATCCTTGAGTGATTACAAACACTCATAAAGAAAAGTCGGTCATTTCAAGATGGCGATGATCATTTTCATCCGGGTCGTTTTTTGTCATTTTAATTTTTTTTGTATAATTAATTCAAATATGGAGGTGATTTTTGTCCGCAATCAAAATATCTATCTGCTTGTAAATTTTCAGATTTTAAATAAAATTGTAGAAGTTGAAAAAAATCCTGAAGTCATCATACACACTTGTTATGTTGTATAAGATATTATAAATCTTCTGAGGTCATATTATCAAGAATCAATTTGCCTGCCACCATTTTGTGATTTGACTCTTCTCTTGTTCAGTCGTTTCTAAGATTGTGACGTCATACTGTAATTTTAATTTTAATGCATTCCACCATTTGTTGTTTGTTTGGTGAAGTCAAAACATTTTTGACGAAACGTTGGGTATTAAAGGATGGTATTTGATGTCAAATTTTATTATTTATTACACCAAGTTGGTTTAAGTAACACAGGAACGACAGAAGATTCTTGCGATGTGGGCATTAGATTTTCCCACCACATTGATCAGTGCTCCAGATATATTTCGAACAAACGTTATTCTTCTGTAATGGCAATATAATTTGGATGGATACGTTATGAACTTGCTAGATTTAGGTTAAAAAGCTGTTTCTATGATGATTAATTCTACGTAAATCCTTTTTTTTTCAGTTCTATGTTTGGCATGTGAGAACGTCCAGATAACTAGACCATCTTTATGTGTGCACAGCTTAAAGGGGAACTGCATTTTTTTATGAATTATAACCTAAAATAAATTTTTAACACAATAATGGAGTTATTTTCATTACGATATTTCATCTCGTTGCTGAGTTATAACGAGCCATTTTTTAATTAACCCTCTAAAAAAAAGATCACTTTGATCATGTAGATACATAAATATAAAAAGCCTACTTTATTATTTAAAATATTTTCAGGTATAATTTACGACAATTTTTGATACTGAAAATGTTTTACAAAAAAAAGCGGAATGCCCCTTTTACGTTTGATCTAGTCGTTAGTAATGAGCTATTTTCAAAAATATCGAAATATCGCCGAATCCTGATATATTAAGGTAGTTAAGTTTTTGTCCCGATAAGATCATCAACATAAAACAAGTAACTTAATATTTAAAACACACGCTCTTTTCATGGCATTCATGGGGTGTTTTTAATGTTTTTGTTATACATATAAAACCATACCTAAGAAATATCGCGCCGTATACTCAAATTAGAGCAGCAGCTTTGAGTACACTGGTCAAACAAACATGGTGTGAATGAGTGTCGGATCATGTAAAAATGCTAATTTATTCATCACCCTGCCTCCCACATTTGGCCCCCAAAGAGGCCCCACATTTCTCGCTAGAGTAAACAAACAGTACAGATTGAACTTCGCCAAACAAATTACTTGTTGCATAGTACCTGTGTATATTTTTTTTTTTGTTGATTTTTTTTTTCGTCCACGGCAGGCCAGTTTTCTCGAAAACGGCAACAGGTACGACAAAACGGTCTTCGTGGCGTTTCGTAACTCGTGGCTAATCCCAGCTTAAATGTAAAACGAAAATATTCTGAGCAACATGAAGCAACGTTAGCAACAAACGGAAAATGGACTCTTGAGGGCGTGTTTATCAACCGATTTTGATCGGGTTTCCTTCATTGTATTTCTTGTACATATGATAGTAGTTGAAAATTTTCGATTTTTGAAATTTCGTTCGATACTTTTTTTCGTCCGAAATTTACTGGATTGACTTGAAACTTATATGGTGTAGAACATCAGCATATTGGAATAAAAGCACACATTCAAAAATTTTTGATCACTTCTGGTTTCGATGTTAGAACTTCCGGTGGTATCACTTCCGGTCAAATTGAGTTATGTCAAAAATAATATATGCATTATATTATCAGCCTTAATACAAACTTAATATGAATAAGGCAATGCCTTAAAATAGAGCGCGGCTTTTCATCCAGACACATTGACTTACCTAATTCTTAAAATGATCTTAAATCCAGGTTTTCTAGCAGTAGGGTGGTTCACTACTACTATGGTCTTATCTTCTAACATTATTACTAGAAAGCAATATGTCCCGATATCCAGGCAATTCATCAGGACATTGCCACGTATTAAGACGTAGGGATTGTCTTTTGATATAAAAAATAATCAAATATAATAGTTCAACATATTAGGTTTATTTATGATGAAATACAGGAACGGCTTATAACACAGTTCAAATCAAATCTTCTCACACCATGAAATCAATGAATAATATTGATAAAGTTACAAGTCACTGTAACTGCGACTGAGAACCGCAACTGGTTAGAAAAAACAGTTCCTGATTGTAACTTCCAAACTGCTGTCAAACCAACAGAACTCTCAAAACGAGCTAAATATTAACAAAAAGTTTTTATAGCATCCATGTGCTTATTTTCAACAGGAAGTACTAATCATCTAGGAACACTAGTCTTTTCCTCCAGACGTAAATGCCAATTCAATAGACAATATAAAAATGCAAGATTATCCAGACCAATTGGATTTAGACCACAAATATTAAATTATTAATAAAATTGGAATTAGACCACAAATATTTTCTTACATTGAAATAAACTTAATGTAGCCACACCAGCCCCTACATAAAAATCCTTAAGGGCGTTTTTATGTAATCACGAAGTAAAAAAGGCTACCATAAGTGGTAAACAAAAAATAATAAACATATGGACCTATTAATCATGTAATTCCAGTAAACAATTTTAGTAACTGGACGTGTTAATATGACGCTAGAATCTTTAGATTCTTCACAATGAGATGGTTTAGCACTTATAGCTACAGTAGAAGCGGTTTTAATCTTAACAGTTCGTACTAATCCGTCATCCGATTTAATAACATCAACGATGCGGACAAGCGGCCACTGACCTCTGGAAAAATTACTGTCTGCAAGAAGCACAACATCACCAATCTGTATGTTGTTACGTTTAATCTGCCATTTACTTCTTTCAATTAAAGTAGGGATGTACTCTTTTATCCATCTGCACCAAAATATATTAGTAAGTAAGGTATTGTGCTTGACGCCACTTTCTCTTTAAGTAGAGTCCTTTACATCAAAAATGCCTGGTGGTAAACTCGAGGATGTAGATCTAAGATGTAGTAAATGGTTAGGTGTAAGTGGCGCTTCATCTGAAACATCATCACTAACTCTTGTAAGTGGTCTGTTATTTAGAATATAACAAACTTCAGCCATAACTGTGGATAAAACCTCATCAGTTACTAACTGGGAACCAATAACCGAACGTGCAACTTGTTTCACTGAACGAACCAATCGTTCCCTTACGCCACCCATATGACTGGCGGCAGGTGGGTTAAATGACCACTTAACATTTTTATCAATACAAAAATTATTAAACTTAGCCTGATTAAAAGATAAAATAGATTCAGACAACTCTTTTTCAGTCTTTGTAAAGTTACTACCGTTATCGATCCTTATCTCTTCAGGATAACCTCTCAAACTTATAAAACGTCTCAAACAATTAATAACAGAATCAGTGTCCAGAGAATGTGCTATCTCAATGTGAACTGCACGAGTAGTATAACAAGTTATCAAACAACCATATCTTTTAACAGTACTCCTGCTTTGTTTTACCAAAAGTGGTCCAAAATAATCAATCCCAACATAACTAAAGGGGGGTTTATCTGGTGTAAGTCGTTGCTCAGGTAAATTAGCCATAAACTGTTCCTCGGTACCTTTAGACCTCCGTTGACAGATTATACACCTACTGACAACTTTACGAACTGCTGATCTACCTTTGACTACCCAATATTTACACCTTAAAGAAGATAATACAGATTCTTGACCTAAATGACCTACATCAAAATGATGTGACCTAATAATCAAGTCTGTTACATGATTTTTATATGGTAATATAAGTGGATGCTTCAATTCACCATCAACAGGACCTTTATCAAGCCTTCCACCAACTCTCAATAGTCCATCTTTAACTTGTGCATCTAATTTTCTTAAACAGGATTCCTTAACACCATCAGGAAATGATTTGGATTGTACAATTTTAATAATATTGCATTCAGCTGCTCTAACTTCATCAACTGACAACTTAGACTCAAATTTAAAACCTTTTCTTAAAACTCTACAACGAAGATATTTTTTGACTCTTATCAATAAAGCAAATACTCTCTTTAACTTTGACCATGAAGAAAATCTTTCAAACAATTTATCAAAAATATCTTTGGCTTCAGTATCATTGGTAATATAAATTTGGACTTCCTTTCTAACTTCAGGATCTGTGTCCTTCAAATCAGGAATACTAACTCTTTCTGGCCAAAACGTTTCTTCTCTTCGTAAAAATTTTGGTCCATGTATCCACCTAGGGTTCTTTAACATAATACGTAGTCTAAGTCCTTTAGACCCATCATCAGCTGGATTAACATCACGATTAACATATCTCCATTCCGAAACTTCTGAACCAATGTGAATCACTGTAATTTGTCTGTCTATTTGATTCGAATGTATGAAATCTCTTCGATTCGTTTTGGATACACTTCAGTACTGACATAGAGTCTGTCCAAAAGGTTACACTGGTAATAGGTAAATCAATTTCATCTTCAATGACTTTCCGCATCTTCACAGATATAACTGCTGCTGATAATTC